TGTTGATAGGTGAAAGTTTAGGGTAACGTAATATTTTTCACTGTTTTTAAGTTTGATACAAGCCTTATCTATGATGTTAAGGTTGAAACCTCTAGATAGTGTATGATCTTTAAGTAGTTCAATTCAATAAGTAAGCTTTTTTTTTTTGTGGATTCCAATTTGTACAGCACGATTTATGTAGGTGAAGTAGGAGGATATTTTCTGTGATAGGTGGTGGTTAGATCGTGTGTGTGTGGTGGCATGGTGACCGAATGGGGTTTCCTGTGTATACTGGTGATAACTTTATTATTATCTCTTTTTACATTCACATCTAAAAGGGGAGACAACTGTTGGATTCTACCCCCATATGTGAAAATTATGACATCAGATCTCAAGGTGTCCAAGAATTCGGTGAAATTAAGTAGAGTGTCTTTCCCCTGTCGTCATATACTGAAATTATCGTCAAGGTATCTTAACTAGATTTCAGGTTTTTTTTATGTGTGTGAATTTGTGTCCAAACAGTTCTTCTAGAACTGACATGTAGAGATCACTAAGTAAAGGGGAAAGGAGGATTCCATGACTAATCCATTATTTTATTTTTATTTTTTGTAAAACTGGCCTTCGCATGTCAAACAAATGTTGTTACAGCAGTATTCTGTTATAGGATCGTCTTCAATTTGTTGTTTTATACAGTGTACGGCTTGCCCTACAGGTATTGAGGTAAATAGAGATATCTTCTTGGTTTAGTTTGATGTTTTTGATTCTATTTGCAAAGCCTGGAGTTTTTGAGAGAATAGGGCTAGTTTCAAGTAGGGGTTTAGTTTCTTAACTAAGGATTTAACAACGTTTTGTATCGGTGAGTCTATGTTAGATACTATAGGTCTGAAAGGAATGTTGTCTTTGTGAATTTTAGGGAGGGTGTAAAAACGGGGTTGGGGTGGGTGATAACGCTTGGAGACAAGGGAGAATAGGGCAACCTTTATCTAGTTTTTATCCCCACACACTTTTCGCATTAGATAACATTTTTTTTAATTGGGATTAGTTTCAATATATTTTGTGTGAATAATACATTGTTAGTGGCCCTGTAACTAACACTTGTGATTAATACATTGTTTGTGG